TTTTACAGCACAGTCAGAGCCGCAGAGTCGAGTTCATATCGTGGCTTTTATTGTGAAAGTGTTGTTTTCCTGTGGTCACATTCTTTTTTTTTTTTCTTTTAATTTCTTTTTTTTTTCGGTACAAAGAGACACAAAGTAAAAACTAGTGTAGTAATAAATATAAAATGTGAGATAGAAAAAATTGCAGGGCAGGTGGGGAAAAAACATCAAAACTGACCTGAAGAGCTCGTAGATTTGGTTTTTACGACAGATAAACACACACACACACACGCTCGCATACACGCAAACACACACGCGCATCGACACATTTGACATGTTTGAAACTGAAATGCGTCTGCAGAGGGGCTGGAAGGACAACGAGGAGGACGAGGAGGAGGAGGAGCTAAGACTACGGCGTGCATGTGACGTGTTGGGTACAGGTGTGACGCAACGGCGAAGCTGACAGGAAGAAGGCGACAGATGTGATGACGCAGGAGAGGAAAAGTGGGAAGTGCTCTTGTTCATTGTCGCTCGTAGATTCTGGTGCAAATCACGTCGTCTGCTCTCATGGTCTGGAAAGAAAGAGAAGAGAAGAAGCAGCTTTAGTGAGTTTACCGTCAGTTCAATGTGTAATGAAAGTGTTTCACAGAGCAGCCAATCTCCAAACTGAGCTGTTTTTTTTTTTTAAAATTAAATCTCACTCTTGAATGCTGTTAGTGGAAAAATTGCGCAGTAAACATATTCTGGTCACGTTTATTTTACTCAAGAGTAGCTCTGAGTTTTAACCCGAAAACCTGCCAGCGCTTGTAAAAAAAAAAAAAAAAGTTGGTTGTCGTAAAAATGACAAACCGCCTAAATTACAGCTTTGATTAAAGCCAGAAACTGTAAAAACTGAAAAATTTGCCAAGTGTTCAACTTTCTCATGATACTTTGCATAATTATGTGCACCTCATGGTTCCACTGGGAAAAATAACCAAACCTACTCCTAAAATCCAGATATTTCACCAAAAATTGCTTTATTGTATGTTTTAAAAAAGTTACCACAAAATCCAGTGTTGACACTGAAGTGATTCTGCTAAAAACATAGAAGTCTGAGTTTTTTAGTGCAACCGACAGTCAGAAATGGTTCAACAGTCACATGACGACAATTCAGT